CTCGTGCTTGAAGTGGACGTATTTGGGTCGAAACAAAAATTAAATATTAGTTTTTACGTATAGCTATTCGTATTATATATATATTATATATTCGTATAGTCGAAATAAAAATTAGTTTTTACGTATAGCTCATAAATAAATTTAAAAGTATCAGTTGAATTTAACCAAAGTAAATCCTTTATTTTACATTTTATTTAAAAAAGTTACCAAAAAAAAAAGGGTTCTCCCAAAAAGAGCTGTCAAAGACCTTAATTGCAGTCCTCCAAAATGTGTTTTAAGGAGTATTATTTTAATAATATGCAAATATTCTGTTCCAGATGGAAGCGCCCCCGTCCAAAGCAGCTGAGCGCGGCCACAGAGCGGTGTAAGTGTAACAGGGCTCTATTTCAAAATACTGCAACCTCACTATTTCCGCTTTGAAATTGAACTTGAAGTTATGGAGCGTTTTGTCGCTCGTATGAATACCTAGCATACACCGCAACAACAGAATCACAGCCTATAGTAAGGTGTAAAGGGTGTACCTACCTTTTCAAGTGAAACCTTTCAAAGGTAAAGTTTGTAATTGTTAAAAGGAAAAACAGGAAGAATAAATTGGCATGTTTCAAAATACCATTGGATCACCCGCTTATCGACGCGGCCGTACGAGCATAGTATAATAAGTAAAATCGTAGCAAAGCAGCTGTTTTTATAATACCAAGTGACTGGACGAAAAAGTCGGACGCCTGTTGGTAAGCGACACGCCTATCCATTACAGTTGCAGTGCCACTTAGAGCTTTAAATGGCAAAGGTCTTAGGGGCACTGCTACTGTGCCCGTCACCTTGAGACCAAGTTGACAGTCCCATGTGCCTGCAATTTCACTAACACCCTTACCGAACGCAGTAATTTTTACATTACTGCTTGGCGGCAAAAATGGGTAAGGTGCCAGTACTTCCCTGGACGAACTCTTTCTCAAGGAGCTCTACTGTTACAGAACACAACTTGTATGTGTACACACTCACCGCCTGCCGTATATGGACGCACTCATTCGCATAACGTCGCGGTGCACTCGCGTTGCATAGCACGGGTCGTCACACGTGCTATTAATTATAGAATTGAAGCAGTCATCCGTATCCGTATCCAGGACTGGTAGCTGTAAAGGTACTAACTGGGTGATAAATCTGTTAAAGATTTCTCATAGATGGCGCTACGAGTAAAAAGTCGTTGAAAGACCAAGTACAAAGACACGACGCAAGCACATAGAAAAATTCGTGAGGTCCGTTGGTTCGTTCCGTGGCTTAGTTGGTATAGCGTCTGGCACGGTATGCAAGAAG